GATAACGCCCCCAAAATGGCCTCCAGATGGCCCACACTGCTTCCAACACGGCCCAAGGGGCTTCCAAGAGGACCCCCAAAAGGGCCCCAAAAAGCCAAAATTATTGATTTGTTTAGATTTTTGATGGGCCTTCCCGTTTCTGCCTGTTCAGCTTCCCGGCGCTCCAAGACGGTCCCGGACTCCCAAATATCGCCCCATCAGGCCCCCACGAAAACGTCGAGATTACCCAAGAGGCCCCCAAGACAGCCCAAAAGGCCTCCAAGGCAGCCCAAGAACGCCCCAAGAACGTCTCCAGAGAGCTCCGAGGGGGAACACCAGCCAACATTTCGAGCTCTCCGCCCCCGGAGGCCCCCGAGACGCCCCCAACAGCCCCCAAAAAGCCCCCAAGAGGCCCCAAGAAGTTCCCAGGAGGCTCCCCAGGAAGCCCCAGGAGGCCCCAACGAGGCACCCAAAAACTCCCCCGAGACGCCGTGAGACACTCCTGACGATCCTCGACGCCGTCCCAAGAGGCACGGCCCACGGCCCCCAAGAGTCTTCACAGCCGCCCTCGGCCAAGAGCCTCCAGATTCCAGACGGCCCAGGACGACTCCAGGAAGCGCCTGGAAGGCCCCCAGAGCGTTCCGAGACGGCCCGAAACGGTTTCGAGACGGCCACGACAGGGGTCTTTCTGGCTCCTCCGTCTCGAATCGAATCGATTTGTGCGTGCCGATTCGAACCGACTCGATCGGGAGATTCCCACAGCGCATGGGAGGACCGGGGCCCTGGCGGCCAGGCTGGGGCGACGGGGGCTTTTTGCAAAATCGCCCGAAGATGGTCCCGGATCGCCAGAAATGGCGCTTCCACACTGCGAAAACGACCAGTGACGGCCCGAGATTACCCCAGAATTAGCCCCTGACTATCCAAGAGGCCTCCAAGACGCTTCAAGAGGCCTCCCAGATGCCTCTCAAGGAGCCCCAGGAGGCAAAATCATTAATCTTCCGTGGTGTTTCAAGGACTTTCGAGTTCCGCCATTTCAGTTTCCCGACGCTCCACGACGGCCAAGATGCCCCAATGTCCACCCCAAGACAGCCCCAGAGGCCTCGAAGACGGCCACAAGACAGCTCAAGAGGGCCCCAAGACGGCGCCAGAGGCGCCCAAGGCGGCCCGAAAGGGCCCCACGACGGCCCCAAGAGGGGGCCTAGAGGAGTAACACGAACCGACAATCCGAGCCGTCCACCCCGAGATGCTCTCAGGAGGCCCCGAGAATCCCCCAAGAGGCCCCAAGAAGCTCCCCAGGGGGCCGAAGAGGTTCCAAGAGGCCTCCCACGAAGGCCCCAAGAGGCAAAAACCATTATCTTGCCATCGGTTTTTGATTGATTTTCGAGGTTTCAGCCATTGGGCATCCCGACGCTCCAAGACGGCCCAAGAGGCCTCCAAGACCGCTCCAAGATAGCCCAAGAGGCCTCCGACACGGTTAAGTCGGGCATGTCCCTCTACAGGAAGAATACTCAGGAGTGGCAGAGAAATGGTATGGGGGCGATTTTTCGTACTCTTCTGACTATTTTTGAACACTTGTTGATTATTTTTCATGTTTCTTCCAAAATCGGCCTGTAGGAGGACATGCCCGACCTAACAACAGGACCCCAAGACGGCCCACCAGGGCCCCAAGACGGTGCTTGAGGCGCCAAAGGCGGCCCGAGAGGGCACCAAGAAGGCCCCAAAGGGGCCCAAGAGGGAGAACGCGAACCCAACAGCAGAGCCTTCCACCTTAAGAGGCCCACAGGAGGCCCCAAGAGTCCCCAAGTGGTCCGACGAGGCCCCCCAAAGCCTCCCAAGAGGCCCAGAAAGGCCCCCAGGACACGTACAAGGGACTCCAAGATAGCCTAACAGTGCCTTCGATGCATCAAAACTGTCTCCAGGAGGCCCCTGGGAGGCTTCCGGATTGCCTCAATGTGGCCCCAGGCGGCCTCAAGTCGGACCTCCACGCAGCCCAGACGGCCAATGACGGCTTCAGATTGCAGAACATCACTTTCCGATTGCCAGGTGAACCCCGACGATGCCCCCAAGGGACCCCAAGAAGCCCCAAGACGCCCCCCCAAGAAGCACCCAAGAGGTGCCTCCAACAGCCAATTGAGGAAGCACGGAGATACCCCCAAAAGCCCTTCAGACGCCCCCACGAAGACCCGATAGGTCCCCAAGAGGCCCTCAGGAGGCACGACTATGTCACGCGCCTGTGCTTGATAGCGCTGTCCAAGATCTTCCAGCGCCCCCCCCGGCCTGGGCTAGAACCTAAGCGCGCGAATCGCGCGCGATGGTTCGAGTTATATATATATATATATATATATACACATATGTACGCGCTGGCCGTTGGAAGTAAATATTTGGATATCCCCAGATCCCAATCTACTTTAGCCGCCTTCATGCTTCAATAGTCGAGCGGTTTTCCCTCTTCCCTCCTCTTCAGGGGGCGGGCGGAAACCCAATATACTTCCAACGCCTTCCTACTTCATGTTTCTACCCACTTTTTCCGACCGACGGGTCTACGTCGCAGCCTTTGCTTACGACAACTTGAAGGTGCCGTTCGGTGCCACCTGCTAAACGGTTACGTTGAGCATGGTTGCCAACGCCACGTCTACGGGCAATGTCCTCGTCATCTTCATGTTGGCATTCACCCCTCCACATCCGTAGGATCGCCATCCTCATCCAAATCTCCTGAATCCCGTGCTTGATCATTATTAGGAGGGTGCGCCGCTGGATCTCCCCAAGGTGGGGGGGTTGGGACCCCCCCCCCTCTTTACCAGATCCGTCGTCGGGGACCCCCCCCCCCCTCCCGATCCGTCGTCGGGGGATCCGTCCGGGGACCCCCCCCCCCCTCCCCTCCTTTCAAAGGGGGGGGGGGTTCCGACCCCCCCCCCTCCCCCCCTTTGGCCGCCAAATTCGAAGCCCCCTCCCCTCCCCCCCTTTCGCCACGGCGCCCCCAGGCTCCGGAACCCGACCCCTACCACCCCTAACGCTAATCCTCACCCTTACCCTGACTCCCAACCCTAACCCCGTACCCTAACCCTAGCCCCAAACAGCATTCACTATTCATTACGCATTACCCACTACCCACTACTCACTACTCGCTAGTCACTACTCACTTCTCACTACTAACGGTTCACTATTCACGACTCACTACTCACTACCCACTACTCACTACCCACTACTCATCATTCACTACTCCTTACTCACTACTCACTACTCACTATCCACTACTCAATACTCACTACTCATTATTCACTAAACACTAAACACTAGTCACTATCCACTTTGCACTAATCACAAACCACCACTCACTACCCACTAGCCACTATCCACTACTCACTACTCACTACTCACACTTCACTACTCATGGCCCACAACTCACTACTCACTACTCACAACTCCTTATTCTACTCACTAATCACGACTCATTGCCCACTACTCATTCTTCAGTAAGCATTATTCACTACCCACTAGCCACTGTCCACTACTCACTACTGAGTACTCACAGGGCACTACTCACTACTCGCTGCCCACAACTCATTACTCACTATCCGCTGCTCGCTACTCGTTACTCCTTACTCCCTACACAGTACCCGCTGCTCACTGCTCACTATTCACTACTCGCTACTCCCTACTCCCTACCCGCTACCCGCTAGTCACTAGTCACAAGTCGCTACGCTACTCAGTACTCACTATTCAGTACTCACTACTCACGACTCACTACCCACTACGCACTACTCACTATTCACTACTCACTACGCAAGAGTCACTACGCACTACTCACTACCCACTACTCCCTACTCAGAAGCCACTTGTCATAAGTCGCTACTCGCTACTTGCTATTCAGTACTCACAAGTCACAATTCACGACTCACTACCCGCTACTCCCTACGCACTACCCGCTGCCCAATACTCAATCCCCACTTCTCACATGTCACTACTCACTACTCACTACAGACCACACTACTCCCTACTCAGTACTCACTACTCACTGCTCGCTACTCCCTACTTGCTACTTACTACTGACTACTCCCTCCTCACTACTCACTAGTCACAGTGCCGTATCTGCGACTCACTATTCACTTTTTGCTACTCCTTATTCGCTACTCACTACTCACTACCCACTCCCCACTACCCACTATTCACTGCTCACTTCTCACTACTCACTACTCATTGCGCAATACTCACTACTCACTCCTCACTCCTCATTACTCGCTACTATCTACTCACTGCTCACTACTCACTACTCACTACTCATGATTATCTACTCACTACTCACTGCTCACTATCCCGAGGCCAGACCCCCCCCCCCTTGCAGGAGAGGCCCCCCCCCGGCCCCCTGTTCGGCGCAAAGGGGGGGAGGGGAGGGGGGGGTTCGAACTCCCCACGCCCTTTCCAGCGTCAAGGGGTGGAGGGGGGGGCGGAACCCCCTCCCCCTTCAAGGGGGGTCGGGGGAGGGGGGGGTTCGGACCCTTTCCTTAAGGGGGGGGGGGGGAGTCGAAAATCTCACCCCCCTTTGAAGGGGGGGAGTGGGGGGGGGTCGGACCCCCCCCTGTTCAACTACAGGGTGATCCAGTGGCGCGTTTTCCAGTATTAGCATCGTCGTCATTATTTTCACATCCACTCTTGTCATCGCATTCACCAACATCATCGTCATCATGTTGGTCCTCGTCCTTGTCTTCATTTTCACCCTCGTCGTTCTTATCCTCAATCACCTTGCCGTCGTTTTTATCGTCGGCCTTGTAATGATCCATCATCTTTGATGCTTTGTTTTGGATGGGCATCAGTGAGCGCTGGGAGGCTGCCCGAGCAGTGGCAGAGTCTGCAAAGCGTCGCCACCAGCAGTTCGCCCTGACTCCGCACAGCTTGCTCCTCGACGCTGGCATTGGCATCGCGACCGCAACAGAAGGGTCGCGTGTTTTGTCGCCCCGCCCTCGTTGCAACCTGCTGCCTGAAACGTTCCAGCCTCAGGCGCCTTATCCTGGGCCACCGCGCCGATGGGGCGGCCGCGGTGGCCCGGCTGGGGATCCCGTTGTCCGTGGTTCAGGCCAGGGCTCGAGCTAAACGGTGTTTTGGTGCTTTCGTGGGCCGCTTCCGTTCTGATTCCGTTCCGCAGTAGAGGCAGCACGGAGACGGAACGGACTACTACGAAGACAAAGCGAACACGGAAATAACACGGTTCAGCTCGAGCTATGCGTGGTCCAGGCGCCCCACGGTGGGTTGGGTCACTGCTGCGGCGGCCGTGTGCCTGCTGTCGCCGCGGACCGGCGAGGATGATGGGCCGGTTTTCCACCACCACTACCATAAGTAGGACGAGGGAGAAGGGAGGATGAGGAGGTCTCCTCTTCCTCCTCCTCCTCGTCCTCCTCCTCCTCCTCCTGCCTCCTCCCCTCCTCCTCCTCCTCCTCCTCCTCCTCCTCCTCCTCCTCGTCCTCCTCCTCCTCCTCCTTTTCCGCCCCCCTATCCTACATATGGTAGCGGTGGTGGAAAATCGGCCCGTCAGAGGGGCCGAGCTCCAGGGTGGCCCCGGCGAGGGAAGCGTTCGCCTCCCCATTTGGGGCCGCCGCCCCGGGCGGCGCCGCGGATCTGCGGCCGCCGCCCACGCCCTCGGAGGCATGGTGGCCGCTGTGGCCGGCGCTGCCCGTCGCGCCCTACGAGCGCAGGCGGACGCTGCTGGTGGAGTACATTCCAGGTGTTTTGCTCGGGTGAAGTCGGGCATGTCCCTCTACAGGAGGAATATTCCAAACCAGTCGAAAAATAGTCAGGGGACGATTTTTCGAGTCTTCTTTACTATTTGGGGGTATTTTCTGACCTATGTTTCATTTTTCGTCCAAAACCCGCCTGTAGGAGGACATGCCCGACCTAATGCTCGGGGCGTCCGAGATGGGACGGTACGGAAGGGAACGACGACCGCTGCGAGCTCAACTTGTGAAGCTTCTGATCTTGTGGGAGGGTTCGCCGTCTGTCTCGCAGACGGCAGGCGTCACCTGCCCAACAGTGGTCGACGCCTGTTTCGGGCCGCGCCTCCAGCGGCATCGTCACTATTTTGGGCGTGCCGTCCGCGCTCGAACAGACCATTCTCCCGCCTTCTCCCTCCCCCTCTCTCCTCCTCCACTTCTTCTCCTCCTCCTCCTCCTCCTCCTCCTCCTCCTCCTCCTCCTCCTCCTCCTCCTCCTCCTCCTCCCTCTTTCTCCTCCTCCCCCTCTCTCCTCCTCTTCTCCTCCTCTTCTCCTCCTCCTCCTCCTCCTCCTATTCCTCGTCCTTCTCCTCCTCCTCCTCCTCCTCTCCTCCTCCTCCTCCTCTTCCTCCTCCTCCTCCTCCACAATTACACAATATGAAAATACTCTCCCACTTCCCCTGATGGCGTCCCGAAGATATCCGACCCCCCCCGCGTACTGTTTTTTTCACACAGGATTCCCGGGAAACGGGTTTTCGCTTGCGTTTTTTCAAAATGCTGCTCTCGCTGAGGCGCTGGCCTCATTTCTGCTCCCGAATCGTTCCGAATCGTGCTCCCGCTGCAGCGTGGGCCTCATTTTCGGATCGGTGTTTGGCCTCCGTCGTTCAGGATGGCGTTCTCGCCCCAGCGCGGGCCTCTTTCTCGCGCGCCCATCCGCCCGCCACCACCGCGCCGCACCACCACCACCACCACCACCACCACCACCACCACCAGCACCACCACCACCACCACCACACAACAACACCACCACCACCACCACCACACACCACCACCACCACAACCACGCACACACGCACGCACGCACGCGCACCACCACCCACTACGCACATGCGCGCGCGGAGCCACAGGTCCGCTACGACACGTGCGGATAGGAAGGAAATTCAGCGCCATGGTAAGGGATGGGAGGGAGGGTAGGACGTCAGATATGACGCGAGGCGCACCTACTTGTCCTCCCCCTTCCTCCTCCTCCCCCTCTCCTCCTCTTCTCCTCCTCTCCGTCTCCTCCTCCTCTTCCTCCTCCTCCTCCTCCTATTCCTCCTCCTCCTCTCTCTCCTCCTCCTCCCTTCCTCTTCCTCCTCCTCCTCCTCCTCCTCCTCCTCCTCCGCCTCCTCCTCCTCCCCCGTAGCCATTTTGGCTCAAGATGCCTGCACTTTGGGGGCTCCGCGCCTCCGTGCCTGCAAGGATACCGCTAGTCCGCGGCAGTCTTCAATTGTCTCCGCCTGGTCAGCCCCAGGTGAGGAGCCCGCCGCCCTTGTGGCGAGCCGTTCGCGCGGCATGGTTCCTCCTCCTTTCGGCGGCGGCGGCGGCTCTGGCGCTGGTGCAGTGCGTGAGTCAGCTCAGGGGACAAGCTGGCGATGCCACCGCTGCCACTACAAGAACCTGGGCTGGCGCGCGAAGTGTCGGCAGACGGGGTGCACGGGCTGTCGGCCGACCGACCAATCGCGGTGTGCTTGCTCCTCGTGATGATTTTTCTCCACCGCGCGGGGCTTGGGCGGACGGTGCTGGCGGCTCCCGCCCGTGGCACACCGTGCAGAAGCCGAAGCGTGGAGGTGGCGGGGGCTTTGGGGCGCAGCCGCCCAAGCTCTCGCCCGAGGCCCGCGACCGCTTCCTGGCACTCAGCGATGCCGGTTTCGAGCTACTGTCCGTCACGCTGGCCGCCAACGACAAGCACAGCCCGCGGCAGTTGCGCTTCCTGCTCCAGCAGCAGCTGGGTTTGCTCTCTGAGATCAAGACGGTCAAGTCTGCGCAGGTGGCGGCGGACGAAGCTTGCAAGCGGCTACAGCAAGCCAAGCTGGACTACGAGAAGAAGCAGGAGCTTGCTGCTGAGGCGCTCCAGGGTTCTTGCATGCAGAAGGAGAAGGTCGCGCAGCTACAGGTCGAGCTGGGCGCCGCCGTCTCCAGGGCGAAGGCCGCGCTCGCCAACGACACCGTGCCCAAGCATGGTGCCGCGTCCAAGTGCGACGTCGGCGGACTCATCGGCCACGCGAAGAAGCTCGAGGGCGTCGTGGGCGCGTCTGGCGAACACCAAACTCCAGCTCAGCGAGGACCTGCTGGGCCCCCTCCGCGCGCTGCTGGCAGGAGTTGGCAGCTCACTCTCCTGAACCAGTCGCAGCGGGCGGTGGCGCCGCGGGCGCCCCAGCAAGCGGCTGTGAGGCTGCCGCAGGGGCTGCCGTTGCGGGCGTCGCCGCGGGCGAAGGCTTCGACGGGGACCTCGAAGGGGGGCCGCTGGAGTTTACCACGGGTGACGCGTTCCAGGCCGCCGCCTCGGCCTTCGTCGGCTCCGACCCCGAGAAGCGGAAGTTCGTCGAGGAGTTCCAGGCTCACCTCAAGCAGAAGCACGCGGCCGCGGTTGAGGCCAAGACGCCGCGTTTGGGGTAGCCGTGCCCAGTCTTGGAGCATCGCGTCGCTGACTATGAATTCGTATTTGAACGTCGACAGGTGTCTCATCGAGGAGCTGGTTGGCTGCGACGTCATCTTGTTTCAAGACACTCGGCTAGGACAAGCGCGCGCGACGGACGCTGAAGGGGAGCTTCGTCGTAGTGGGCTTTGTGCCTGCGGTGCAGCCGCGGTGCCGTCGCTGGCTGGGGGGCAAGCGACTGGGGGGCTGCTCGCGCGCGTGCGCAGCGAGCATGGGCTTGCCGCCATGCTGGGGCCACGCCCGCCCGTCCAACGTGAGGGGCGCGCGCATGTGCTACATCGCTCTGGGCCAGTCCGCGGTGGCATTGCGCTGGCCAACACCTACCTGCAGTCAGGCGCTGGTGTCAACGCGTTCAACTACTACGCGCTGAAAGACCTGGCCTGCAGGCTGCGGGAGCATGGCCGCCCGTGCGCGGTCGGGGGCGACTCCAGCTGCGCCGAGCAGGAGCTGGTGAAGTTGGGCGTGCTGAGACTCTTCGATGCCGTCGTCGCGGACACTTTGGAGCCCGCCTGCGCGCGGTCGAAGAGGACGATCGATCTGTTCATCGTCTCGCGAGGACTCAAGGTGACCAACATCCGAGTGGTCAGCGGGTCACCAGTCTACCCGCACAAGCCCGTCATCCTGGAGCTGGGGGCCTCGCGCAGGTGCCCGAGCCCTTCCCTGTCCAGCGGCCCGCGGGCTGTGCTCGCCATGCGCACGGCGAGCGCTGGAGCGAGATCGGCCAGGAACTGCAGAGCTTGCTTGCTGGCGGGCAGGGGGGGGTGCTGGACAAGGCCGAGCGCGACAGCAGCATCAAGGGCCACCTCGCCACTGCGCGGCAGCGGTTCCTCGGCGCCGCCGAGGATGAGTGGATCGACATCTACCGGGCGGAAGGGGGACAAGGTCAAGCACAAGGGGCGAGCTCGCCCTGCAGAGCCGCGGCGGCACCGTCGGCTTCCTGTGGCCGGTGCCCGCTGGCCCCGAGTTTCTGCAGAGGCGACCTGGATGCACCGCGTGGCCAGCGCGCTGCTCGACATCGCCGCCGTGGAGCAGCCGCGCGCGCGTCTCGACGCTCTTCGAGGTGCGCGCAGACTGCTAGACGGATCCCCAGCCACTGAGGTCGACACTTGATAACGGCGAGGTTCTGTCCTGCCATCAGGTGTTGCCTCAAACCGTGGCTTGGTGGATACTGTTTAACAACTTGCGTCTGTCCCTGCCGGGCCCCGCCGCGCTGCAGCAGCTGCGCGCGCGCACGCGGTCGCGTTCGAGATGGCGGAGCGGGGCATGGGGCAGCGGACCGCCCAGTTCCAGCTGTGGGTCGAGAAGTAGGCCGAAGGGGGAGGTGGCGGTCTCCACGCAGTATCCCGTCTGCCCATCGGTTCCGACCCGAGCCCCATTGGCGAAGCTGAGAACGGCGACGGCCTCGGCGACTGTAGGCAGCTGTTCGAGCCCATGGACCTCGGGCAGCAGGTGACGCAGCTCGAGGTAGAGTGGAGTCGCTGGTGGAGGACATCCTGCGAGCACATGCGCTTGCACTGGCCCTCGGACCTGGGCGAGAGGCCGCCGAGGCCCTCAGTCCAGGAGCTGCGCAACGTGCTGCGCTCCTTCAGGGCCACCACGGGCATGTCCATCTGCGCCGCGAGGCCGCGTCAGCTCGATGAGCTATGCGACGAGGCGCTGGGGGGTCCTCATCGACATCCCCATGGCGATCGAGCGCGACGCCGCTTGGCCGCTCATGACCACCAAGATCGGCCCCATCCAAAAGCGGCTGGGCGGAGCGAGGCCCATCGCCGTCATCATGGTGCTCGCAAGGGTGCAGGCACGACTTCGGCGTGGCCTCGCCCGCAAGTGGGAGGGGGCAAACGATCGCCCATACAGGTGGGCGACGGCTGGCCGCAGCTGCGAGCGGGCCGTATGGCATCTAGCTGTGATCGGAGAGTGGGCCACGCAGCGGGGCGCTGACAGCGGCGACGCCGAGTCCTGGGTGGCGGTCGCCGCCCTGCTCGACCTGCTCAAGGCGTTCGAGCAAGTGCGGCACCACTGGCTGCTCGACGCTGCCATCGCCGCTGGCTTCCCGCCGTGGCAGCTCAAGCTGACGCCGGAGCTATACTGCGCGCCGAGGGCCCTCTGCATGGGCAGCGCTGCCTCGAGCGTGATCGAGGCGAGGCAGTCCATCCTGCCCGGTGACGGCTTCGACCTCGCTGCTGAAGCGCATCCTGATCGGGCCGCTCGACCGCCTGGTCATCCAGCGCCCGACCTTGTCGCTGGCAGCGGTCGTGGACGACCTCATGCTCCATCGAGTTGGCGGGCTCGCGCGGGTGACGGAGGAGGTTGCTGGGGCTGCCTTCAGGCTCAAGACGCTACTCGTGGACGTGGACCTCGACGTTGCGGTCAAGAAGCCAAGGGCGTTGGCGAACCTCCCTGCTGCTCGCCATGGCCTGGCTGCCCGTCTGCGCTGGCCGCTCGGCGTGATCTCGGTCAAGGGTGAGCCCACAATGGGCGGTGACTTCTCGTGTGGCAGGCGAATCGTGCGCGAGGTGCGCCAGGAGAAGCTGGTGCAGGCAGGGCTACGTCAACGCCGCGTGGCGATCCTCAAGACAGGGGCAGGGCGCAAGGAGGCTGCGAGCAAGGTCGCCAGGGCTGGCATCGAGCCCAGCGTGACCCACGGCATCGCCGTCACTGGCTGCGCCGCCATGGAGCTGGACACGCTGCGGACGGAGTCGTTCAAGGCGGTCGCGTCCAGCTTGGCTGGACGGTCGCGCACGCTCACCCTGATGCTGACGCCCATGCTCGACCCGATAATCAGAGCCACGCTCCTGCCCACCATGATGCTGCCGCGGGCGGCCCGGGGAAGCTGGATTCCCCAGCGCATCATCGACTGCGGCATGGCGCGCTGCCAGGCCCAGAGCTGGAGCCAGGC